AGTCAAGAAAAAGAAAAAATCCAGCAAAAAGAATTGGGTTATGTGCTGCAAGAAGGATTTGCCGCCGCCACCGAAGCCCGCGCCCGTCGAAAAGCCACCACAAGTCGTTAAATGCGAACCGATTAAGAAGCCACCAAAGCCAAAGAAAGCCGACGCAGAGCCCGTATGCGAAAAGGCATCATTCTATCGCTCTGGCGACGAGCTACGCGCATATCTGGACCGCGAAGTGGTGCCCATTATGATGGAGGGCATGGTGGCTCTGGCCCGTGATCAGCCCAAGGATCCGATTAGCTATCTGGAACACTTCTGGCTGGATGAGAAGCACAAGTGCGACATACCCCTGCCAGAGAATCTGCTCTAGGCTAGCCGGAGCACTCGCCGCACACTAATCGGACTTGCCCCTTCCCTGAATCTCACGCGTTGTCTCTAGATCTACTTAACTTTCAAGATATCAAACACTTAAATGTTTCTGGTTTTACGTTTGGATGGAGGAGAAGCACAAGTGCGACATACCCATCCCAGAAGATCTGTTCTCGTTAAATGAATGTTTACTGTACACTAGACATACCCACGGCTTCCCTCTCTCTTCTACGTTTGACTGGAGGAGAAGCACAAATGCAACACGCCCAAGCCGCAGAATCGACTTTACGTAGCCTTAGTTCACTTTACTTCTATCAGCTTTGGTCCTTTCTTCTTCCTAGCGCGTTCGCCCCTGTTCATCTCATCTTTCAAGATATCAAGTAGGAAATGTTTCTAGCTCTACGGTTGGCTGGAGGAGAAGCACAAGTACAACATACCTAGACGCACTCTTTTTAGCTGGAGTCTTCAAGGTACACTAATCAGGCTTGCTCTGCCTGTCGTTCGCCCTCTCGCACCTCTCATACTTGTAGATATCACACAATAAATGTTTATGGTTTTACGTTGGGATGGTGGAGAAGCACAAGTGCGACATACCCATCCCGGAGAATTTTGTTTAAGAGTATTCACTATACACTAATCAAACTTGATCTCGTCTTTCTTCAATCTGTCTCAAATTTCAAAAATATGAATAAATAAATGTTTCTGGTTTTACGTTTGAAATCACGTTATACTAATGGGTATATTAAGGGTATATGGGTAAAAAGTTTAGACTTAAGGGAGTATAAGAATCAGAGTGAAGTGATGAACAAATGTTAAAGAGGGGATGGATTCCTCGATCATTTAGTTCTAGAAACTAGGAATTTCCAAGCAGCCGGCCGTGCATACCCGCTTGGCATGCACTCAAGGAAATCATCGATGTAGATATTTTTTGCTTCAGTGAGGCGCAACGTCTGTTATAAAAGCTGGCCCAAGTTCTGGCTGCAGCATCAGTCAATTAGCTGCCTTCATCTAGTTTCCAATAGAGATTCTCAGATCATGTTCAAGCTGGTGAGTCAGTCTATTGCCTATTGCTTGGCTAGTCAAGCACTTCTCTCACTCTCTGACAACCTTGCAGCGCCTGAGCCTTTTCGCCTTTGCGGCCATCTGGCTGTCTGCCGCTGGGGCTGCTACGCTGGAATGGCCCGCCAATCTGGTGGCTCTGAGCACCAGCAAATCCTCGTCGCAGCCTGTGCCGCTGGCCATTAGCGAGGAGTCCGCCGAGTTGGTCAGCGAGAACAGCGCCTCCTCGGCGGAGCCGGAGCCGGAGCAAGCCTCAGCTGAAGCGTCCGCCAGCAACGCTATAGCCGAAGCCGCCGACGCTCGTCTGGTCACTGCGGTGCCTGTCTCCGTGCCACTACCACTAATTGTCGCCGCTCGGTCGGGTCTGCGCAGCGTGCTGACCATACAGGAGCCCACGGTAGCCAAGCTGGGTGAGCTGGTGGAGCATGTGCCCACAGCGGTGTCGCATCAGAGTCAGACGGTTGTGCACGATCATCGACGCCTCGTCACGCCCATTGTGGGACCAGCGGTGCGCACCACCCAGCTGGTGCGTCAGCAGCAACCCCTGATCTGGACCATCTCCGCTGATCCTCGCGTGGTGCTGCTCCAGCAGTAGATCCCGAAAAAAGCCAACTTAACGAGCAACAAGATGAAACCAAAGAGAAAACAACGACAAAATTCTGCTTCTTCTTCTAGTTAACACGTCTATCTATCTCTTTCTATCTATCTTCTCTGCCTCTGACACTTTACCTGCCATTTTCAATGCTCTTTCTGTCTATCTGTCTCTCTACTTTTACATCTATTTACTATTTGTTTGGAATAAAGAATTCGCATTTGCAATCTGTTGCGCTTGTTCCTTTGATAGCTCCGTCTGCCTGCCTTTCCGACTGCCTTTCCGACTGCTCACAGCAATTCAATAAACATCAACAGACGTCTGCCACCATTGTTGTCCAGGCGGGACCTTAATGAGCAAGAAGGTGGGCATGAACTGAAATGGAAACGACTCGAGAATTCCCTGTTCGCAGACAATTGAAGCTTTACGTAGGCAAACAACCATTGTATAAGTGTTAGTATAAGGCCTTGACAGCAAATCGATTATCGATATTTATCGATTTTATAGAAACGTAGAAAAATCTAGTGAATTTGGCCAACCAACTTGACCTTCTCCTGCTTAAGGTGAAGTCTTTATACTCTATACAGTACTCTAGATAGTATATGACAATATCCTTATATACCATCGATATATTGAGTATATAGAAATATCAATCCCTTATTTTACATCATTCTACATCATTACACATAGTATTGTAAATTCACTCTATGTATGGTAGAATGCTCCAGACCTAAGTATGGATTACCAATATACCCCTTTCTAGTCCGACTACAGTGTATAATCAATAAATAACGCAATCAGTGCCAAAAGATCTGCACTGTAAGTAAGCAACAGACACTGGAGCAGACGCCTTGGCAGCTCGGCTGGCGTCGTTTCAAGCTCAAGGTGCCGCCTTCTCCCTGGAGTGCAATTAGAATCTCTGCTATAAAAGCTGCAGTTGCTCCTTAAAGAGCCAACAGTCCAAGAATCGCACTCAACTGGAGCACTGGAAGATGCGGCTGCAATTGGTAAGTGAAGACCAAGAGAGAAGGAGAGTGCAAAAGTTCTCAAGTTTTCCGCATTTTACCTTTCAGATGTTCACACTTCTCTTGAGTCTATGGAGCTCGACTCAAGCTGAGCTGCACTTGGCACCACATGGACTGCTCAAGTGGGCTGAGCTCGTGGAGCATGTGCCGACCGCTGTGTCCCACCAGAGCACCACTGTGGTGCACCACACTGTGCCGCGCCGCACCACCACGCTGCTGGCACCACACAGTTCAGTGCGCAGCCTGGTTGTTGCCCCACTGACTCCACTGAGCCCAGCCGCTGCCTATGTACACGCCCATAAGGTTGAGCCCTTGGCCTGGAGCTATCTCTATCCGCATACTCTGTCCACGCTCTATGCGAACTGATTTGACATGTGAATAAACAAGCCCACGTCTGCAAATCCGCATCGATGTCTGCATCTCTTTTTTTGGGTGGGGCAGGGCGAGGGGCTGGCTTGACAGACTGGCGGATTAGTTCTCGTTAAAATCAATGCAAATGCCAATTAAATTTTGCGCTACGTTTCACAGTTGATTTAGGTGTTGAGGTGACGTCACCGGAGCCCTACAAATAATCCGAGAAGCTGATGAACCTTCGACTCGACCCGACAGCAGACAGTGCCTTCACCCAGCAGCAGAGAGGTAATATCTGTAGGCCGACGCCGAGTTGACAATAACAAGCAAGAAGCCATGCAGCCGCCAGGTGTTTGGCCCGCCAGCGTTTGGAATTTCGATGGGGATTCGTCTAGCTGGATGAAAAGCGAGAGCGTGCAAGCGCCACACAATGACAATGAAAATTTATGAAACTGTAAACCTTGAACTCTCTTCAACTGATATCGATGCTCAAGCCAAAGGTGAACCCCAGCCAGGTTAACAGGCTGGCAACAGTTGGGCAAAGAGTTGACCGCAACGCTGGTCATTTTCGGTCATATTATGCAATTGACCTGAGGTGCTCAAGTCCGTGAGCTGCATGAACTCGAGGTTATTTTAAGCGTCAGAAATGCAGTAAGCGGCGATTGAGTAAGTCTTGGGACAGTCGAGAATGCAGTAGGTAAGATGAAGAGAAGTGGATAGAAGACCTTAAATCAGCTTTTCCAAGGAAGAGCCATTCCACGGAAATACAAGTAAGAGCTGTGCGCCATAATACCCTTTTATAGTAGATTTTAATAAATGGTAAAGAGAGGATTTAGTAATCTACCTAGATTACTAGATATGTTCTAATCTAGTAATCTAAATATAAATTTTTAAATATCAAATTTTGCGACTCTAACTTCAGAACTTGAACTTATTTGTTGCAAGTGCAGCAAGTGCCCTCAAGTGGTATATGCATATCATTTTTGATAGTCAATAAGCGATTTTATTAAGGTGGTCCTTAAATTTGCATTTGCTAGCTATCAAATAGTAGATTTTATTTTCGATTTACCACAACTCCGGCAGACGATGTTATATAATTTAAGGTCAATCTGAAACGAAGCTCTGCAGTAACGTAACAAAGAAGCCTTCTTGGGAATTATCCCGAGGTGTGGCAGTTAGGTCTCGCCAGACTCCTTCCTAAGATTGGGTGTCTTCCCTCGTTTCAGACTCCTATGCTGTATGGCTAACAGCTTACTTCTTTTCTAGAGTAGATATACAATGTATTTATGTCTTTCACTCCATATTAGCTCCAGTTTTTTCCAGCACTACCTGCATTGACCAAGCACTACCAACGGTACAGATATATCAGAACCCATGCGCCAACTTTAATATCAAGGCTGATATTTCTCTGATGCATTGCTAGACAAGTTTCATGAAAAGATATTTTGAGTAGATATAGAAGCCTTTATCGACCTCGCTTCTCGTTTGTATATAGCCACACATTGTTATATCTGCACACATACGACTTATCGGGTATACGGAATACGCCTTTTGTCTACTGCATAACTTTTGCAACTCAATCTTTTATGACATTTCAAAGTGACGCATTTGCATTTTAGCAAAATGCAGGCACAGAAACCATGCGCTGTGTCTGCCAGTGACAACTGCCGCTTATATGGTGTTTGGGATCAGTTCCCGTTGTAGTCCTAGTCGCCGCAGTATCTGCTCGGCTCTGATATTATGTAAAATTGAAAGCGCCTTCGGAGCACAAAACATTCTGGCACAGACAAAGGTCACAGCGCAGCTTTAGAGGCGAACAGCTCGACGACAATTATTGGTGTTTATCGATTGAATGTGTTGCCATTGTCTGCACCACCCAACCACCCAGCAACCACCCAGGCAACCGCGGTCGCACAGACCAATATCTATGGCTGTCATTTTCAGTTTCGAGTGCAATGATGCAATTCTCCAGAGCGCTCAATACAAAAGTATGCCAACGTATTCAGACGGAGCTGCCACTACCGGCCGCCAGGTGGCGCGCATTTTAAAGCGAGCGCCGCAAAGGCCGCAATAYGAGCTGCTTAAAGCTGAGAGAGGCGAGTTCATTGCATTTACTGGGAATTCGACGACGTAGCTAGAGCAATGCCAACTGCTGCGCTGATTACACACACACAATTATCACAACGGGCAGCTGATGGGTGGTGCTGGGTGGTGATGGGTGGCGATGAGTGGTGCTGGATCGTTGCCAGCACACCGCTGCGTAATCGGTTTGTTTGTTTATCAATAGAGCGGAATTTGAATGCGTCGTTATGCTGTCATCGCAGAGACTGCGGCTTAACCATAGCCTCGGCTTAGCTCTGGGTCTGGGTCTGGGTGTGGCTCGGGACTGGCGTAGTGTTAAGGATGCCAGCGGCAATGGTCAGAGTGTTAAGGATGCCAACGGCAATGGTCAGGGCCATGGCCATGGGTGGTACTCCATTGGTGGTATACACAAAGCAAGGCAGCAACGCACAAAAGAAAACAAATCTAACAAGTTAAGCAGAGCAGAAAAATTTGCGCAGAGATGAAGAACTTACAGGCTAAACAAACTATTTGCCAGGCCAATCAGAGGGCCAAAGCACTTAGGCTAAGTGGCCGAAAAGCTAATAAGCTGCGACCAGAACTGAGCAATTTGGCAACAGAAGTGAACAAAGGAAGAGGGCTGAGGTGAGCTGGGGGCAGATAGATTAGCCAGAATATGCTCCGTACGACTAGAAGGAACCCCGCCTAATCTTGACTTTTTAAATTTCGAGATTCCAGATTTCCAGGAGATGGCCAAATGCTTATGATTCCCTGTTTGATATTCCAAACACAAAATTGCGAAAATTTCAATGAGCTCAGGCAATCATTCTCAACCAGCCCAAGAGCAGAGGGTGTAGAAAAAAGCTCAATTTAAATAATTTATGTAATCTCAACGATCTCTGCGGAGACAATGTTAGGCAAATGCTGCCAGAAATGATTAACAGCTGTGAACCAGCGGCAGCGGGGCTTTCACTGCGTAACAACAAAAACAAGAAAAACAAAAGCAAGAAAATCAATTTTTCTTGGCGCCGGAAGTTGAGTTGAGGCAGCTGATGGGGCACCACAAATTGAAGGTGTTGCTGGCTCTTGCTCTTGCAACTTGTTGCGTTGTCGCTTGTTTCCTTATGCCACACGACCACCAGTGAAAGGGTTCACAAATTACTAGACCATTCGGGCATTGCGAAAGAGCCAAGCCAAGAGCCCGAACTATGAGTCAGTTTTAGGCAAACCCTAGCTAAGCCGCCTGCTAATCATGCCGGGCACACAATGTGGGTGAATGACCTTGACGATTAACCAACTAATAAATACAATAATCAAACAACAACAGTAATAAACCAATCCAAATTTATTACATGCAGTTTCGCAAAAGCAAAACAAACGCCGCAAAAAAAAAAA